TTCGCTGCTCGTTTCGTCGGCAGATCCGTGCCGGCCCGCCCCCGGTGCCGCTCGGCTTGCTTGACACTCGAGCAGTGGCGAAGCGTCCTGGCGTGCCTAAAGTCCTACCAAACAGTGTTCGAAGAACGTTTTGTGGATTCCATGGAATGTTCTCAGACCACTTCTGGCTGGGACTGTCTTGTTTTAGCACATCGGGTTTATGTTCTAAGAACCTTCTTTCCGTTATGAGAACACTGCTGGGTTCTATGAGGATTTCGTGGTAGGCCTATAGGAAAGCCGGGACGGTCCGTCCCTGCTCAAGACACGCGTCGCTGAGGTGCCAGTCCCGGAGTGGACCAGCGTGCCCCTGCCTTCTGGCCAGGAGCGGGGCCGGATTGTTCGATGCTCGTTTGGGGGACCTTCTGGGGCCCACCTAGCGGATTTGTTCGACTCAGGGTGGGTTCAGGTTCGAATCAGGTTCGACTCAGATTCGACTCTTATTCGACTCAGGTTAGGCTCAGGTTAGACTCTGGTTCGACGCAGGTTCGACGCAGGTTCGACTCCGGTTCGACGCAGCTTCGACGCACGAGTGGAGCGAGTGGCTCCAGGAAGGTCCCCAGAATGAGCATCTAAGGATTGGCAGAGCGGCTCTCTCTCTGACTCTTTGTGCTTGTTGATTCCTTCGTCTCTCTGTACAGCGGGCCTTTGCGCTGTCGCCACCGGCGTTGTGGCCAGTGATTCCAGATGGCCAATTCTGTTACAGGAACTGGCACTGGCATCAAACGTGCAGTTGATCGGTCTTGGCCCACATCTCTCGTAACCTCGGCGTATACTATCCCGATTCCTACCACTGTCTTTCGTCCCTCTCGTTCGCGCCAGCCTCGAGAGCACATGTGAGTGCCAGAGGCCGTACTTGTCCTTTTTCCATGATCTCACCTAGATGCCATAAGTTCCTCCTACTGGTAGTTAGTAGGGGCAGGGGACATGAACGTGTTCAAACATAAGCTCGTCTGTGCGTGTTTCAGGACTGGAGTCGCTGGGTGTCATGAGGTTTCTGACTGGTTCTCGCCGCAGACAGGTGAGAGGAGGAGGAGGAGGACGTGGAGGGGTAAAAGCAGATGCCCTCTCGATCGTTCTGTCTCCTGCGGGCATCTCGTGAGGGAACGTGCCGCGAGCAGCCCAGTGGAGTCCCTTGTAGGACCACGGCCTGTCAATAGCTTCAAGTCGGGCCTGTCCCTCTAGAGGGGGAATATTCAAAAATGGTCACAAAATAGTCTGGGGACAATTTGTTGAGTATGTTTGAACATTGTTTGAATATTGTTTGACTATTTCTCACTATTCGTCTCAAATCTTCCTGTAGGGGGACATGCCCGACCTAACAATAGCTTAAAGGCTCGATTCGAGTTCTCGGGGCGCCGTGTTTTTCGACCCGTCTACGGCCAGGTTCGGCGGGCCGAGCTCGGGGGGGGAAGGCGGAGCTTTCTATTCCGGGCATTCTTCGAATGACACCGGCCGCTTCTCAGAAGGCTGGAGGGCTTCTGAGAAAGTCCGTCGCCTTCTGAGAATCACCACCCACCAAACCACCCCACCCCAACCCGAAGGCCTCAATTTGCCCTACATTTCCAGTGAGGGGGGGGTCGGGGAACATCGAGAAAATACATTTGCAACACATACCCCCCCAACCCGAAGTTCGGGTCTTCGGGTTGGGTTGGGGTGGTAGTCAGACAAGTCCCGCATATTCTCACTTCCTCGACCCCTTGGCGCGCCGCCGAGTTACGGCAAGTTCTGTTTTGCTCGTAGTGTGTTTCAGATGTTTCCAGGGTCTGAGAAAAATGCATCTGCGGTGTCTGTCTGCTGCCTGAACCGACTGGTTTCACTCATGCTTTTTGGGGGGATCCAGCACGGCGCCTCGCCATGAAAGTAAACCTTTCGGTTCCAGCATGCTCGCCAGTCGTTTCATGTGTGGTCTTGGCTGCGAATCATTCGTGCATTCCGATGGAATATGTTAACGCAGTGTTGAAAGCTGTGTACGCTGTGTTTAAGAATGGCATGTGGGACGATCCCGCAGTAGCAGACACTGGTTCCATCGCAAAGACCTTCCACGAGAAAGTAAAGGAGGCAGGACTTTGTTCTGGACGTGGTGAAGCATATCTCACTTGGCGCTGTTGCTACTTGTTTTGCGCGGCCTTCTTCACTGCTGTAGAGATTACCGCATCGTGGTTGATATTGGATTTTAAGGGGCACACGTACAGGCGCCTATTGAGTCAACATGTCCAACAAGGAATCGACCTGGCAAGTTTCGACCGCCTCATCGTCGCATTGGGCCTCCAAGATTACTTCATTTGGGCTTGTAAATTTAGTAGTTTTTTGACATTGCTTACTGGCGTCTGGTTATCTCGGCCTAGTCATGCAATTCCTTGCTTACGCTGGTCTCGCAGGCTGGTTTGGCTGGCATGGGTTATTGTCTTTGCTCTACCCTTCAGTGCGCTGATCGTATTCCCCCTTCGAAGTCTTGTTGATTGGCCTGCTGTCAAATCCGACTTGTGTGCACTCACCATCCAGCAGACCATAGCAGTTCCTGGTTCCAATTTGGAAGACAGCATTCAAAGTGCCAGCGAAAATGGCATATTACCCGGGCAGATGGAGGAAGTCATTTCAGATCCATCATCTTGGTGCTCAGCTGCTGGTGATACGTGGTTCAATGATTTCAACACGGCTGTGGGCTGCATGTGGGCATTGGAGGACTTGTGCCAGAAAGAGTACTGCATCCCAACAGATCTGAACCAGTGCTTTCCCAAGTGCATGTCTCAGACAGGAGCAACACGAGGCGTCTTAAAGACTGAGTTGGACGCGTGCGTGAGTGGCGGCAAGGCGTTCGACCTGGGTCCTCGCCCACCCATTCCTTCAGGCAGTGCTAACGCATCGGCGCTCTACGCAGCATTCTCCTACTCGCAGCGCGCCGCCGTCACAGAGGCCGCGGTCGCTGCGCAATTGTTGGGGCTGCATCTCGAGTTCACCGTCGGTGTGATCCTCGGCGCGGGTACCGGCGTCTACCTGTTGCCCATGGCGCTGTCCCTCTTGGGCGGCTCCACCGAGGCGATCGTCAACGTGAAGGCCGTCTTCCCTGGGCTGCAGCATCCAGCTTGGACCATGGTGCAGTCGGCCCTGTTGGCGCTCCCCTTGTACGCCGTGATGTTCGCTGTGATCCAGCAGGTGATCGGAGACCAGTGGATCGCGAAGAAGAGAAAACTGCACAACTATAACTTTCGGTGCTCCGCGCGAGTTTCTTGGATTGGCGCTGGGCCTCCCCTGGCCGCGCCTCCGGTGCCTCTCCGTCGCGCGCTCCGCGCGGCGGGGAGGGGGGACCCAGCGCCGATCCAAGAATTCCGCGCAGAGTTCGGAAGTCTTATGGTCATGCAGTGTTGTGTTCTTCCAGGATCGCCATCACTAGCACGCTGTGCATACTGTATCTCTCCCTGTCTGCTATTACCGGGTATCGGAGCCACACGATCAGGGGCGGCAGTGCAGAGAGGGAGCGATTCTATAGGCAAGTTTGGCTCGAGTATGGCTTGCGTCTTGTCCTCCTGGTTGGAATTATTGCATCCCTTCTGCAGTCCAGCCACAAGCGTGACGTGAAGTTGTACATCAGAGGCGGTCTTCTTGACGGCGTGGGCATAGCGTCCACCATCATCAAGTATCTGAGCTCCAAGATTCTGACTGCCGTGGCGGCGACCGACATCGTCCTGCACGTCCTGGTCAAGTCGGAGCTATGGCGGGCACGCATGCCCCTGGCCGAGCAGGAGGACCACGCAGCAGTCCTGAAGGACCTGGACACGCTGCTCGGGGCTCGCACGTCCGTCGCCGTGGACAACGAGGAGGACTCGTGCACGGGGTCGTCACCGCTCATGTGACTGTCGTCCCGGGCTTCCATACAGTCAAGTCCGCATGGTAAGGATGGGCAACCTTCCCAAGGGTACCCTTGCATCCCTGCCTCCTCGGTCCATCCTTGGCCACTTTCGTTGGCCGCGCCCCGCTCGAAAAGCTTCGAAATGGGCGTCCAAGGCCCTTGCATCCTTCTCGCGCATCCTTACCATACGGGCCGACTGCACAAGCGGGAGACCGACAGCGGCATAAACATCACTGTCCAGAGGTGCGCGCGGACTCTGTGGCTCGGCGGCGGCCCCCCCTTTCCTTGGGCGCGCGAAGCGTGCCAGTGGCGATGGCAGAGGCGCCGCCAGAGGGTGCCCAGCGCTTGCCCCGCGCGGTCTTCCGTGGGTTTCTGTTTGTGATGGGCTCGGTTATGTTGAACATCGCCGCATTGTGTCCTCTCCTCTCCCTGACGCTACGTCTCCTCCCGTCGTCCCGTCGTCTTAGCCCTCGTCCACGGACGTCCGCCAGCTCATGTTTGTTTTGTGTGGTTGTTGGTGCAAGCATACCTGCGAAAACTGCGACGGTGGACTTGTGGATTCGTCCCTCGTCGCCGTCGCCCTCCTTCTCCACCTCGGGGGCAACAGCAGGGGTGGACAGGCTCAGGGGGGGATGCATCGACTCCCAATCGCCCATGGATCGCCGATAGGGGCCCGATAGCGCTCCCCGCCCAGGACCGTGCGGTTTGGCCACCGAGGGCCTGTCGCCGATCTGTCGGCGATGTATCGCCGATCCCAGGTCGATGACCCCCACTTGAGATAGACCCCCTCTGATGCTTCCCCTCGCCCTCCCCGCCTCTTCCCTCCTGTCGACGGACAGAGTTCTGGGACCGGACCAGCCGGAGCAGTCTGTTTCAACGCGCTGTTGGCGACGCACTGCGCGGCTCAATGCAGCCGTGTCCTCAGTGTTGCAGCGGCTGCATCTGGCCGTGGTCCGGCGTAGGTCAAGGGGCGGATGGTAGCCTGTGGCTTTCTTTTCGCGGCGCCGGAGTCGTGACTCAGAAGCGTGGCTCGCTTCGAGGGGCTATCTCGCCATTGCCTACTCTCTTGCTTTTTCGTCTGCTCTGCTCTCCTGCTCGCGAATGCAGTCGCTTCTGGGATGGGTTCCCTCAAGCGCTGGGCTTTGGAAGAGATCTTGCGCTGCAGCTCTAGGATGGTCCCTACCATGCGGCAAGCTGCAGATGAATCGCCCTTGCTGCAGCCCGCCTTGCTTGCAAGGAAATGCCATGCACAGCAAAGTCCAAGCTCGTTCAGCGTTTGCAGAGATCATGGAACATAGTCTACAATAGCAGGAGGTTTGTGGTACCCATAGGCCGAATCATGATAGTTTTCAAGAGTTGACCCATTGGAACCATCTAAGTACTTGTACTTAGCACACGCTGCAAGATAATCCCACCAGCGAGTACCTGGTACCTTACCGCGCACGGCGTGGTCGGCGAAACAAGCGTGACACGTTGCGAAGAGGTTGCATGGTGAACATACGCGGTACGGTCGCACCGCTGGATATTGCAATTGAGCAGTAAGTGCAGCAGACATTTACGACCGCAATCTTGCCTAATGCATTGCCATCGGCTTTTCTCAGTTTAGGCACATACACCGATATCGCTTCCATTCCCGCGTCCCCACGTCTGGAGTCACATCGAAATATCGATCAGAACGCGCTCCAGGAAAGGTCCACGGAGTAGCGGCATGGGTACATGGTCGTTTCCCCAGCTCTTTTGCGGACCAAGACGGCATACAACACGTAACATTCTGTTCGGCCCCCGTCCTCCTCCAGCCTCTCTTCGTCGTCCTTTATTGATTGCGAGCCGTCCTTTCCTGATTGCGGCTCGACAGTTCGCCTGAGGGTGTCTTGCGCCTTGACAGCGACAAGCCCTGTGAGTCCTGCGCGTAGTTCTGCGTGAACATCCCGCAAGTTTCACTCTCAGCAGTGATGATCGTGTTTTGATGGTGCCCAGCTCTGTGGCCCTCACGACTTACCCAACCACCCCAACCCAACCCAACCCGAAGGTCCTAGCCTCCGTCAAAAAAATTGGGCTTTGGGCCGTACGGGTTTCGTGTGTGTGTGTGTGTTTGTGTGTGTGTTTCTCAATGTTCTGGAGTGCTGCCCACTGGAAATCGACAGGCCCAACGGCGGCTTCGGGTTGGTTGGGGTGGCTTGGTAGCGAAATGATGGGCCTGTTTTCCACCACCACCACCAGAGGTTGGGGGGGAAGGAGGTGGAGGATGAGAAGGATGAGGAGGAGGAGGAGGAGGTGGAGGAGGAGGAGGAGGACCCCCTCCCCCTCCAACTTATGGTGGTGGTGGTGGAAAACAGGCCCATCACAAAGTGGCCGTGTGTGTTCCTGTGGAGGAGGTCGCGGAACCGGTACCTGGTGGTCTCCCCAGACGGAGGGCCGATGAAGGGTCGGGGAGACGTAAGACTCGAGTAAGCCAGAGCTCGGGTTTGCCGACGCTTCCTGACGAGCGCGCCCTGGATTTTGACGGTCCAGTGTTCGCGGGATGGTTGCAGCGGGAGCTCGCGCGTCAGATTTCGGACGAGGCCTGCCATTTTCACGACGGCCCCGTCAGGCCACAGCGTTATGGGCCTGTTTTCCACCACCACCAGAAGTTGGAGGGGGGAAGGAGGTGGAGGGTGAGGAGGAGGAAGAAGAGGAGGAGGAGGAGGACCCCCTCCCCCTCCAACTCATGGTGGTGGTGGTGGGTGAAAAACATGCCCATCGCGGAATGGCCGTGTGTGTGTGTGTGTGTTTAGTTCCTCCTTGGGCCGGGGGGCGGGGTCGACCCCGGCACGGGCAACCTCGCGGAGGCAGCCGGCGGGCGCGGGCGGGGCGCGGGAGAAGGGGTCAATCCAGACCCGGGTCAGCAGGAAACTAAAAATTGCAATGCAGGAAAACACATTGCAACGCGGGTCTTCGCAAACCCGGGTCAGCCAATATGCGCGGCCGCCTCGCGGCCACGAGCGGCTCGCTAACCCGGGTCAGCCAGAGGGGGTCTTCGCAGGATCCTGCAGGATCTGGCGTTCTGGCTGACCCCTGTTTGCATTGACCCCCGTCTCAAGGCTCCGGACGGAGGGCCGGGGGATCGGAGGAGGAACTGGTACCCATACCTCCACCCGTCGCCCGTTTCTCCCCTTTGTGGGCCTCCTGGGCCGCCCTCGTCGTCACCGCTGCATTCGCCTCGAAAGCCTGGTCAGAACGCACCCCCGGAGGGGTGGTCCGAGGGGGCAGCGGCATCGGTACCTCTTGGTCTCCCCAGGAGGGCCGGGGGGAGGGTGAGGGGAGACGTCTCGAGCAAGCCAGAGCTCGGGTCTGCCGACGCTTTCTGACGAGCGCGCGCCCCGGATTTTGACGGTCCAGTGTTCGCGGGATGTTTGCAGCGGGAGCCCGCGTCAGGTTTCGGACGAGGCCTCGCCATGTTTAGGATGGCCCCGTCAGGCCAACCCATGATGGGCGTGATTTATACCACCACCACCATCCGTTGGAGGGGAGAAGGAGGTGGAGGGTGAGGAGGAGGAAGGCCGACGCTCTGAGCAAAGCGTGCGACGTCTCGGAGCTCTCCCCTCCCCGTACCCGAGCCTCGCGTCTCCCCGAGTCGGGGCGGGGGCCGACGCCCTGAGCAAAGCGTGCGCCGTTTCGGAGCTCTGGGTGCGCCGACCTCCCCCCCGCCCTGCTATGATGGGCCTGTTTTCCACCACCACCACCACCACCACCACCACCACCACCACCACCACCACCACCACCACCGTAAGTTGGTCGCACGTGTTGCTCAGAGCGTCGGCCCTGGACTCCCTCTCGGGGAGACGTAAGGCTCGGGTGCGGGGGGCTCGTGATGGGCTTGTTTTCAACCACCACCGCCACCACCACCATGAGTTGGAGGGGGAGGGGGTCCTCCTCCTCCTCCCCCCCTCCCTCCCCTCCCCTCCCCTCCCCTCCCCTCCCTCCCTCCCTCCCTCCCTCCCTCTTTCTTCCCCCCTCCAACTTGTGAAGGTGGTGGTGGAAAACGGGCCCATCCTCCTATGGCCCTGTGCACCGGTGCGATGCTCGGCCGAGGCAGCTCCGGAGAGACGAAGCAAAAAGAGGCGCCTCGAGCTCCATCGTCAGGGTGAGGGTCCTCCTCCTCCTCCTCCTCCTCCTCCTCCTCCTCCTCCTCCTCCTCCTCCCCTCCCCTCCCCTCCCCTCATCTCCCCTCCCCTCCCCGTGCACCCTCCCTCCGCTCTGCCTCGGCGGCGAGCCCAGGGGGGCAGCGAGAGGGGGGCAGGCCTGCTCAGAGGGCGGCCGGGCTTCTCAGAAGCCCTCGCGCCTCCCGAAGAGAGTCTGCTGAGCCTGCTCCGAAGACAGGGGCGGTGGCTCAGGAGGTCAGGTGGCTTTTGAGAGGCCCGGCCGCCCTCCGAGGAGGCCTGCCCCCTCTCACGTCCCCCGGGGGTCGCCGCCGAGGAGGGGCGGGAGAGGGTGCACAGGGCGGGTGCCGGGCAGCACCCCCCGACGATGGAGCTCGAGGCGCCTCCTTCGTATTCGACGTTGGGGCTTGGCCGGATCGAGCCCTGCACTGGTGCGCTGGTGCATGAGAAGTGGGGGGGGAGGTCGGCGCACGCACCCAGATATCCGAAGTCGTGTTTTCTTCCACAGCGTTGACCCCTGGAGAGTTGGACCATTTCTCCGGGAGTAGAGGTAAGTCGGGCCTGTCCCTCTGTAGGAGAAATATTCTAAGATAGTCAAAACATAGTCTGGGGACGATTGTTTTTTTTGTAGTTTTACAATTTTTGTGCATTTGTGTGACACGTCTTTTTTATTTATTTTGTTTGTCCAACATTCCCCTGTAAGGGGGCATGCCCGACCTGAGAGTAGAGTTTCTGTCTGGGTCGTTGATGTGATGGTCGCGGCGCCCGGTGAGGGCCCCCTGGAGTCCGAAAACGGACAGGGCCGCCCGTCGTGATCGGGTGAGAAGGTCAGGATTGGGCGAGACAAGGTCAGGAAGGTCGTTCACGTGTGTCAGGCGATCGCAAGCATGGATCAAGGGGGCGTGGATTAGTGACGGGTCCCGTCTCCATGGGACATCGCGGATTGCCGCCGCCGAGCGAGGCGGCACCAGGCGCATATTGGGGAGGGCACCTTTCCCGATCCGTCGTGGCCTTGCGCAGGATTTGGTCATGCACCACCGGCGGCTCCACGAGCTCTTCGACCCCGCGCTGACCTGCGCGATCTGCCCCACCGGCTCGGGTCAGGAGGTCATCGTTTCTTCATTTCCTGTCTTGTCGTTTCTGATGTTGTCCTCAGGAGGTTATTTCGTGTCCTGTGGGATGGGGGGCAGAGGATGAGGGGTCGATGCAGCAAGAGACGGGGGTGAAAGAGCACTGGTGGAGAGGCAGGAACGATGGCAGAATGATCAAATAAGTGGAGGGGAGGAATGACGCAGACACGGATAGAGGGATGGCGGGAAGAAAAGCAGGTAGAGAAGGGACGGGAAGAGAAGGCGAGGCATGGGTGGATGGGGGCGATTCGAACATGATAATAGGCAAGTGCACGCTGAAGCGGATAAAGAGGAGGGGGGCATGATGGCGTCATGCGCGAGATGCGCGGGCGAAGGAGCATAACAAAGCAGGGCACGCGCGATTCAGTCTCCACGCCAGCCCGGGCAGGAGGGTGCGGAGGAGGGCCGGGAGAATGGCGCCCGGGATGCGGAGAAGGAGGAGGAGGAGGAGGAGGGAGGAGGAGGAGGAGGAGGAGGGGGAAGAGGAGGAGGAGGAAGGAGGAGGAGGAGGAGGGGGAGGAGGAGGAAGGGGAGCAGCAGGCGGCGGAAGCGGCGGAGCAGGAGAGGCTGGAAAGAGGAGCAGCGGGCAGGGCGCGGGGGGGGGGGAGGGAGGGAGGGGGGCGAAGGGGGGGGGGGGGGGCGAAGGGAGGGATGCACAGGGAGGGGGGGGGGGGGGAAAGTACACCATGACGATGCGAGGCACTGCCCGCCGCGCCCTGCCAGGGCCTGCCTGCCCCCCCTCGCAATTCCCCCCTGGGCTCGCCGCCGAGGGAGGGGGGGAAGCTCACCCGGACGATGGACTTCCGGGCGCCTCTCGTTCACCTCGGATCTTGCGCTGGTGCACGGGTGCGTGTCTGAGGGTGGAGAGGGCGGCGCGGCCAGATTTCGGCGTCGCGATTGTTTCGCAGCGTGGACCCCTGGAAGTCTGGACCTCTTCCCGTGGATTTGCCGGCGGCGAAATTCGAACCCGACCCTCGTCGATCAACGATTCGGGCAATTCGACGGGCGGCGGGGGTAGGGTTCGGAATGCGTCGCGCACGCGGCGAATTCCGAGTCCTGCCCCCGCCAACCATCGATTCGGGAGAATCGATGGTTGGCGGGCGCAGGACTCGGAGTTCGCCACCGGGATCGGTTTTGCATCCCAGGCCGCTGTTTGACGGTCCTGGGGCCCAGCGAGGGCCCCTGAAGGCCGAGAATGGGCAGAAGCCTCCTTCGCTCACCATGACAGAACATGGCGCACAGCCTAGGGTTAGGTGGGGCATGTCCTCCTACAGGGGGTTCTTGGACGAAAAATATGACATAGTCAAACAAATACACCAACATGGTAAAACAAATACCCAACACATTGTACCCTGACTATTTGTGTAACCATTTTTGAACATTCCTCCTGTAGAGGGACAGGCCCGACGTAAGCCTAGGGGCACCCCGCCGCCGCAGTGGCCCGCGCAGGTGTTCGCCTCGCAGCTGCCGCGCGTCGACCTCATGGCCTGCCTGTGCGGCGAGCACTTTGGGCGCGACCTGCTGGGGCGCTGCGTGCCGCTGGAGGCCGCGCTGCAGGCCCGCCGCGGCGCGCTCGCGCCGCGCCGCCGCCGACGCGGTGTGGATCCCTTCCTTCAACCCTTCTGCTCCTCCTCCTCCTCCTCCTCCTCCTCCTCCGCGTACTCCTCCTCCTCTTCCTCCTCCGCGTCCTCCTCCTCATCCTCCTCTTCCTCCCCCTCCTGCTTTTCATCCTCCTGCTTCTGCTCCTCCTGCTTCTGCTCCTCCTCATCCTCCGCGTCCTCCTCCTGCTCCTCCTCCTCCTGCTTCTCTTGCTCCTGCTCCTGCTCCTTCTCCTCCTCCTCCTCTTTCTGCACCTCCTGATCCTGCTCCTCGTCCTCCTCCTGGTCATCCTCCTCCTGCTTCTGCTCCTGCTCCTCCTCCTCCTCCTCCTCCTTCTCCTCCTCCTCCTCCTACTCCTCCGTTCCTCCTCATCATCATCCGTCCGTCTCTCCTCCTTCCCTCCTCTTCTCGTTAAGACAATCTCACGGCGGGCGGCTCTTTTTGCCATTCTTGACATGTGGGGTCCCTCGACGGGCCTCGGGGCCGTCGAAAAACGACCCGGGAGGTAGCGCCCGTCCAGGTCTGTGGGTTCCACGTTGTGACGAGAATTCACGCGTCAAAGTCCTGGGTCTCTCTTCGTTTCTTCCTCCCCCGCTTCCTCATCCTTCTGTCCTCGGTCTTTCCCCCCTCTCCCCCTCCTCTTTGCCCAGTCGCCCCAGGGTCTCTGGATCGTTGATGTCGGATATCGGGGCATAAGCAATTTGTCCTTCGTCCCATCCTTGCATCCGTTCCCTTCGTCCCATCCTTCGCTGCTTTCGCTGGCCGCGCCCCGCTCGCAAAGTGTCGACATGGCTCTCCAAGGCCCTTGCGCCTTTATCGTGCGTCTTGATGCTACGGGTTGACTGTCTCAGGTTCTTATTTATCTGCCTCCTCTTCCCCCCCTCATTCTCGTTTTGCCCTGCTCCTCCTCCTCCTCCTCCTCCTCCTCCTCCTCCGCCTCCTCTTCTTTCTGTCCTCCTCCTCCTCCTCCTCCTCCTCCGCCTCCTCTTCTTTCTATCCTCATCCTCCTCCTCCTCCTCCTCCTCCTCCTCGTCCTCCCCGTTCGCCCCCTCCCTTTGGGGCCTCGTCGCCTCGGGGGGCCCTGGTCGTCGATGCCGAGACTGGCCTCCCCCCCTGCTCCGTCGCCTCTGCCGGGCCTCCCTCCGCCTCGTCGACGTCGGGGGCACCCGGTGGCTCGTTGGCGGTCTGCTCTCCTCGCCAGCGGTGTCCCGCCGAGGCTTTTTTCGCCGGGCCCTCCGCGGGCCCCCCGCGGGCCCCGGGGCCGTCGGGCAACGAGTCAGGACGAGGACCTCGCCCTGGGGGGGGCCGCAAAAGACATGCTCTTAAAGGAGGACGAGAAGGACGAGGAGGAGGAGGAGCAGGAGGAGGAGGAGGACGAGGAGGACGAGGAGCAGGAGGACGAGGAGCAGGAGGAGGAGGACGAGACGGACGAGGAGGACGAGGACCTCGCCCTGGGGGGGGCCCTGGGGTCGGGGACCCGTTTCCCTCAGGACCCTCGGACCGGACGAAAGGGGGGGGGATTCCGAAAGGGGGGGTTCCGAAATCTGCTGCATGCAGCTGGTTTCGGCCCCACCGAGGGGCCCATTCCTCGATACACGGGCGGCTCCGGCGCCGGGAGGCGCCGGGAAAATCAGCTACGCGAGCTGATTCTCAACCCCCCCCGTTGCTATCCCCCCCTTTCGCCCGACCCGAGACCCGTCTCCCCTGGGCGAACCTCTGTCTACTCGGGGCGCGAGCTGAACGGTGTCGTCGCGATCCTGTGGGCCGTTTTCGTTTTGACTCCGCTTTGCAGCAAGGGGCGGAGCGAAGGCAAAACGAGGGACAACGAACGCAAAACGAAAACGGAAGACATTGTTTCGTTCAAGCCCTGCGTCTGCTACGCCTCCAGGTGTTTACGCTTGGTGAGCCTACCGCCTTGACATACGATCGGAGAGGAGAGGGAGTTTGAGTGTGGTCGGAGAGGGAGTTGGAGACCGCCATTTGGGCGACTCACCCACCCGATGGAGAGTCGGAAGCCAGTGTTTGTAACGATGCGGCATGCCGCATATGTACTGCAACGCGTTGCGATGCAATACTTCCCAGCCCTGAAGGAACCGTCAATACGCGCGGAGCTCGTCGTCGTTGCATGGCTCTCTCGCGTAGGGTCTCTAGTGATTGGTTGTCTGTCTCCGTGGTAGGCGGTCGCTGCATACTCTGGAGAGTCGTCGTCGTCTTCAGCGCACTCGTTTGCCTCGCTCGCTCTTCTCGGGGTCGTCCTCGTGCACAAGCTGCCGCCCTTTAGCGGGCGGCGAATTGCGGCGCCTGCGAAACACATGCTCTTAAGGAGGACGAGAAGGACGAGGAGGAGGAGCAGGAGGAGGAGGACGAGGAGGACAAGGAGCAGGAGGAGGAGGACGAGAACGACGAGGGGGACGAGGAGCAGGAGGACGAGGAGGACGAGAAACATGCTCGTCCTCTTCCTCCTGCTCCTGCTCGGAGCGCTGCGCTGCTGTTGAAGTGTGCGGTGTGCGACCCTGCCCGGCGGTGCTCCTCGGCGGGTGCCTCTCCGGTTCTGCGCGAGGCCGTCTGGCAGAGCAGAGTTCAGGAGAGCAACAGACACGCCGACGCAACGAATCGTCGAACCCAGGGGGTAGAGACGAAAATCAAGAACATATTAGAGCATATATGGGGAATCTCGGCGGACGCCTCCGGTTCTGCGCGAGGCCGTTTGGCAGAGCTCGGGGGCGGCAAAGAGGGGGGTGATAGCTGGGGGGGGGATAGCATGGCGGGGGCCACGATATTTCCCCAGACTTCATGGCGCCTCTTCTTATTTCATTGCGTCCCTGGCCCCCCCGCTGGGCCGCGCACATGCCGCCGGTCATGATCTGCACCCCCCCTTTTGGACACCCCCCTCTTGGCCGCTCCCGAAGAGCAGATCTCAGGAGAGTAACAGACACACCGACACAACTAATCGTCGAATCCCAGGGAAGTAGAGGAAACGATTGGAAGTGGGGGTAAAGACGAACATCAAGAACAGATTCGAAAATATGGGGGGATCTCGGGATTCGTGTAGAAGTATTTGCGTGTCCCTGGGTCCCTTCGATCTAGTTGTTTCGTGTAGCCGTGGGTAAGACATCCAGAGCATGTTATTCCCAGGTGATCTTCGCTACGATCGAGCAGCATTGGTGCCTTTCCTGTGGACCAGGCCATGCCGTCTCAACAGCTTCGACGCGTGCTTGCCCCAGTTGTTGACAATGCCCTGTTCCTCAGCTAGTTCCTTGCAACCTAATCTTGTTGTCGGGTGCGGTTCAATCGTCAAGGCTCTACGCATGACGCCGGGCTGCGTCCCATCTGTCATGAGCGTGATGGGTGCGGTCGTGCTCCATGTTCGCGTTGGGGGGCACACTTAGCTTCCATACGAGTTTCAGGGCACCTGCCTGGACGATGCCTGATTAGGGGCTCTTTGGGTCTCTTGCGCACGTTTTGGGGACTCTTGGGACACTCTTGGGAGCCTCGGGCGCCATCTTGGGGCCATCGTGGAGGAGGAGATCGACCAAAGAAGGGGAGCTCCCTGATTAGCCCCTCTTAGGAGGCCAACGTGTAGCCAACAACGTAGTAAAATCAATGATGGTGACTTCCTCGCCGAGGCCATCTTGGACGCTCCAACCTCTCGCTGAGCGCCCTCTTCGGACACAGGGGAGGGGGTTCGTGGAAGGGTCAAGACACCCTCCCCGTCCGCAAGCTGTCTCGCTCACTCCCACCCGCCTTCCCAAGACATGAGTAGAACCCTAGCCTCAGCATTTTCAGCGGGACAGCTGGAAACCAAAACAGACCCATGTGCGCGACGCTGTGGCGAGTTGCGCCACGCGTGCCAGGCTTGACAGGCTCGCATGGCGCCAGGTGCGCCAGGCACCCCTGAGACCCAAGTGTGCCAGGCACGCCTGGCGCGCCAGAAGCGCCACATGCTCCACGTGCGCAAAGTGTGCCGCATGGTCCAGCCGCGCCAGGTGCGCCACTCTCGGGGCACGCGCAGGGTGTGCCAGGTGCGACCGCGCACATGACAGCACACATAGGGAAACACGTCGGCCCCCACCATCCTTGTCGAGAAACACTGCGCAATCGCGGCTGGAAGGTCATCATGGTTTCTGCTGGGCTTGCGCACAGCAGGCAGTATGCCAGCACCCCCGCTGTCCGTGTCAACAACTAATGGGCAGTGATTGACGGGTGGCCCTGCGTGATACACATTTGGTCCCGAATTGCATGTCGCATTTTTTGGGGGGCCAGGGTGGTGGCTCTGCGCACAGCAGCCAATATGGCCCCCCCCGCCGTCACTGCAAAGAAACAATGCAAAGTGCTCGCGGGGCCCACGATGCTGACCAAACAGCTTGCCCCAAAGTGTATGGTTCCAACCATCCTGTGATGTTGGGGCCCCGTTGTGAAGAGACAGCGCCCCGCGTCCTCACTCCTCCCGCTGCCCTCTTCACTCCTCCAGCACCAGCATCGTCATCACCCGTTTCAGCACACTTCTCACACGTTTCGTGGCCCCGTGGGGAACTCCACCGACGGCTCCAGCGGCACCGTCCACATGCGTCCGCCACACTCATGTCGGCACACCCCTCACACGTTTCGTGGCCCCATAGGGAGCTCCTCCGAGGCCTGGTGGAACCGTCCGCCACACCCATGTCGGCACGTCCCTCACACATTTCGTGGCCCCGCAGGGAGCTCCTCCGAAGGCCCCAGTGGCACTGTCCACATGCGTCTGTCGCACCCATTTCGGCACACCACTCGCAAGTTTTGGGGCCCCGCAGGGAGCTCCACCGAAGGCCACAGTGGCAGCGTCCACATGCGTCCGCCATACCCATGTCAACACACCTCTCACACGTTTCCGTGGCCCCAAAGGGAGCTCCACCGAAGGCCCCAACGGCACCGTCCACATGCGTCCGCCACACCCATTTCGGCACACCCATCACACGTTTCGTGGCCCCATAAGGAGCTCTACCGAAGGCCCATGAGGCACCGTCCACATGCGTCCGCAACACCCATGGCAGCACACCCCTCACGTCTCGTGGCTCCATAGGCAGCTCCACCGAAGATGATACTCACGACTGCGGTGCCCACAGTTGCATATGGTTGGCTCCTTCGCCAGGCTCGTGTGTTTTGTTTTTGTTGTAAGAGATGGTGGGGGGAGTGTCATTGGTCCTGGTTGGCTGCCGGTCGCCTGGGCGAGGGGTGTTTACACCCTGAGGGGGTAGAAGTGGGGTTGGAAGAGGAACCGCACTAAGCCACTCACGCCCTGACAGGCTGGTGGGATTACATGCGCTCTGTTCTCCCTGAGCCCTCCGCGCCTTCCCGCCCCCGCGCACGATCTCCTCCCAGCCTCCCGGCCCCCCCACCCAGGCGCCAGAGATCTCCCCGAGCAAGATCGTCGTCGTCGCCGTCGTCGCCGCCGCAGCCGCTGTCGTCGTCCTCGCCGTCGTCGTCCTCGCCGCCGTCGTCCTCGCCGCCGTCGTCGTCGTCGCCGCCGTCGTCGTCGTCGTCGTCGTCGTCGTCGTCGTCATCCTCGTCGTCCTCGTCGTCCTCGTCGTCCTCGTCGTCCTCGTCGTCGTCGTCGTCGTCTTCGTGGTGGTCGTCCTCGTCGTCGTCGTCGTCGTCCCCGTCGTTGTCCCCGCGCCGCCCAGGCGCCGCAGATCTCCCCGAGCGAGGGGTTCCACTCCCCGGGCACGCTGGTGCACCTGGCGCACTCGGTCCCGGGGGGGCCAGAGCTGCGACGGCGTTCAGAAGTCAGGGAAGGCAAGGTTCACCAAGCGACTTTCACCTCTCGCAGAGTGCCCACCTGCAAACGTCCGAACAAAACAGAGGTTTGCCTCGACGAGATTGATCGCGGGCCCCCCGCGGCGGATCCAGGCCGTTGGCGAGCAGTTCCTCTGCGAGCAGTGGAGCGCGCTTGTGCAAAGGTAGCAAGGCCGCTGCTCCGTGCTCGAGGGCCCTCGTCGCCGCGGCGGGGTTCTCGTTGAAGCCCTGGGCAGAGCGCACCCCGGGGGAGGGCCGGGCAGAAGCGGTCTCGGAGCCAGCTCTCTGCACGCGCGAAATGGGTACAGAAAGAATGGGTGCAATGCCCAACAGCAGTTCCTGTTCATTTTGAACAGGACTCGCTGTCCACGCCGCCGCGGCCTGTGTCCATTCGAGACAGGAGGCCGCCTGCCCAACAGCGGCCGCTGCTGGTTTGGGACAACATTTGCTGTTGGGCATTGTACCCATTTTTCCGTACCCATTTCGAGCGTCCAAAAGCTCGTCTCCCCAGATGTGAGTTGCAGATCCCGGCGAGCATCCGCGGTCTCGGCCTCCAGGGTTGAGTCGGGCATGTGCCTCTACAGGAGGCATTGTCAAAAGTATGTTTAAACATAGTATGGGGACGATTTTGTGACTACCTCTGAATATTGTTTGAGTATTTCTTGGTTTTCGCCCAAAGTCCCCCTGAAGGGGGACACGCCGGACCTAACTCCAGGGCCCATTGTTTGGACCCTGGGGCCAATTGATCCTGGGAGAGAAATTGGCCTCGGGGAGGGGTCGGTACTTTTTAAGAAGGGGATCGACTAGAGAAGAGATATGTAGAATGCATTTTTCGTATATTCAACGGACAGATCAAACTTGGGCTGGGGCCGCGCATTGAAGAGCTCATATCGTCGGTTGTTTAGAGAGGGGAGTTGCGATTCCTATTATTCATTGCTCTTCGTGCTGTTGCTTCTCGTTCTCGCCTCGTCGCTCTTCTCCTCCTTCACGGCAGCTGGCTCCGCCATGTCTCGGGCTGCCCCAGAGATGTATCTCGTGGGTTGGGGTGCTCAGCAGGGTTGGAGCTGCTAGCGAACAGGTGCAGCCTTTGGGCAATGTAGGGTAAGGTCGGACCGAGGTACATGATCGAGGCTGGTCCGGGGAGGGTGATTACCCTGATGTTTTTCGTGTTTGTTTGATGTTATTGTACATCCTGACCGATCGCTCCGCCACCGGGGGCCTTCTCGAACCGTCTTTGGGGCCAGAAGTAGTCACGCGGCAAGCCGCCCCAGACCTCAGGAGATATGGTCGGTAATTCAGAGAGTTGAAGACGACAACAAGGCACTTGAGGACCCGCCCACTCCGTGCCCGGAGGCACGGTGCCGGATTCACATGCACCGACCCACCTACCGTTGGCTCTGAATATCCATCCGCTTATGTTCGAGGGAGGGAAGACCACCCAGACCGGACAGTTGGCGTTTACTAAACGTCCTTGGGCGTTTACTAAACAGTCCTGCCTTGTTTGATTCCTTCCGTGGGGGAGTTTAGTAAACGGCTTCGCGCGTCGGGGTGGTTCTTATGGGGGTGGATGTTTTGCCCTCCATATGTGCTGCTGTCCCTCGCGGTCACCCGCCATTCCGCCTTTGCGTCTGCCATCCGCCGTCCCAGGGCCTGTCGCTGCACCTCTCTCTCCACGAGTTCTCCCGTATCCCTTCGACTTTGATCCGGACCTGCGAACCCTGTCGAGGAGTGGGGGTTCGATCATCGGGGGTGGACAGACCTCCTACCCTGACACGTCGATAATGGAATTGGCCGTTTGCGGTTCGCGAGAGGGCGTCGCGGCCGTCATTTTTGCGGGCCCAGGTCCGTCGGTTTCGGCCCCAGGCCGTTTTCACTAAAGGGAGGTGAACTAAAGGGAGGTGTGTCCACCGCCGAGGCAGTAGGTGCACTTCTTGTGCCCTAGAGGGGCCCTAACGGGGCCCCCTGGGACCTCAAAGGGGGCACGAAGGGTGCACGCGTCCTCCCCCCCATTGATCGCCCCCATGCACTGCCCGACGACATCCCACTGCCGCGCCAGTCGATCTGCGCGCGCGAGCCTGCCCCGAATATCCGAGTGAGAGCAACCCCCGCGCGGGAGAGGTCCAGGACGGCGAGGTGCAGACCCCCTGGCTGCTGGAGGTGCGCTACGAGCTAGGCCCGGGGGAGCGCCGCGGGAGGGGAGGGGGGCCTGGCGAAACGACTGAGCTTACCAGCCTCGAACGTTTTCCTGCCCCTAAGATTGACACGCCAAAAGGAGATGACAATCTTAGGGATTCGCCCTCAAACAATAAAGGAATCCCTAAGATTGGCATCGTGATGAGGAGGTGCCCAGCATAGGGATAGGGATATGATCCAGGCTGGTAATGAGCGTGCCTCCGCCTCCTCGCGGCGGCGAGCGAGGGGGGGGGAAGTGAGAAGCGATGAGTGAGAAGGCACTTTTCGAGGCTCGGGGTTCGGACTTGGGTTTCTCTTCGTTTTCGGCCTCTGGGGGCCGTTTTCGGGCCCCGGAGCGCCCGGAACTCGATTGGGGGTGGAAAACTGCGTCGGATGGACCCCGGGAGGGGTTCGTGGACTAATTTTGACCGATATTCTGCTCTGCTCCCAGGGGGAGAAGTGAGACGGAGAACGCCTCCTCAGAAGGCGGCGGGACTGCTCAGAAGCGCTCGCGCATTCTCTGAAGTTGTCTGTGTCTTCGGGGCAGGCTTCACAAAGTGCTCCCTTCTCTGACGGCTGGGGGCCTTCCTTCCGAGAAGGCCCGCCCCGTTCTCGCTTCCCCCCTCGCTCGCCGCCGACTTGCGAAACGACTGAAGTTGCCCCCACCTCCTCTCGTTGTGCCCCTCCCGTGCATGTGCTCGAGGTCTTTTCTATTGCTCATTGGCTTTTGGCGGTTTTCCAACCTCGGGATGCTTGCTAACAGCTGCGCCTCGCCGAGAGCACTGCCGGGGGTAGGGGCCTGGATCGTCCCGAACGGCCGCCATACGCCCGGGCCATGAGCCGAACTCCAGGTTGCCTCCCGTTGCGAGAAAATCACGACGGGTGGTTCTGGTCTGGACCGTCAAAGAATGACCCTGAATAAAAGCACGGTCCCAGGGAAGTTGTTCCGTCCTTGGGGGCCCACGTTGTTGTGAAAGAAACGACGTCGTGGATCTCTGCGAATGACGGAGGTCGGTTTTGTGGTGGTGTTCTTCCTCAATGGTTTCCAGCTTGTGCGTTCGGCGAGAAGAGTTGCCAGAACAAGCTGCACATCAATATCTTTTTGAGACGCCTGAAAGGGCGAGATGACTGGCAGTACTTTCCTTGCATCTTGACTATGAAACTGCTGTGCGTGTCGCAGCGGACCTTCTCCGTTCGAAGGAAAATGCCGTCCTTCCATCAGCGAACCCGAAGATGCTGCTCGGAGTTATCCCCCGTGGTTTTGATCCCATTCTGGAGTCGGTACACGACTGTGGTGTATAGTCC